TTTCGTGGATTTGGATGTTGTTTGACTTAGATTTAAAATCGGGACTTTAGCCGTTAATGCGGTAAAAATAGAATATTAGTTCAGCTACGATTTTAGCTGCAGCTATGATTCATTATAAATTACATAGAAAGTATATTTTAAATATCGGCCTTAAATGAGTTAGGATTTTTGAGAATCAGAAATCCTAGTTTTATCCGGTTCCGATAACTGGGTAATTTTTGGATCCGAGTTAAATTGATCGAACCCTAGTACTGTTTGAATAACTTTAGACGTCATATCATTTATTTGTAACGCGTATCATCGTCCCACTCACGTGATTGACTCTCATCCCATCGCTGGAGCCGAACCGCCGAGGGCGTGCCCGTGCACCGAGTCCGAGTCAAACCACCGAGTGTGTACCCATGCACTGAATCCATCTGTCTACCGTCTCGCTCTGTTTCCGTCAGCCGGTCCAAGCACGCCCCTGCGTCAGTGACCGTGGCACCGTCTCAAACACGTCCATCGACTAAGCCATATCAGTCGAGTTCGTGCCGGCCCGAGTTTCCACGCCGAACCTGGACCACGGTCAAACCGAGCTGCACATAGTCAAGCAAATGATCGACCGACTCTGAGTGAGTCGTCGGTCCAGTTCAGTCGAACCAATCCGGATGGTTTGAAGAGAATTTCAGTTCAACCGAATCAGTCCAGGCAGTCCGGATGGTTCGATAAATTTCAGATAGAATTTCAGAGATAGAATTTTAGATATATATTTCACATAGAATTTTAGAGATATAATTTCAGATATATATTTCAGATAGAATTTCAGATATATATTTCAAATAGATTTAATTTCAGATAGACTTAAGTCTAGTTAGATTATAGCCCAGTCAGATTTAATTTCAGTCAGATCTTAGTTCTAGACTTTGAAATATTTCAGAGAATTCTAGAATGCCTCAAAGACAATAATATTTTCAAAATCAGCTCGTAAATCCCTAAAAATGATTTTTAAAGCAGAGTGAGCGATCCTAGACAATAAGATATTAAAGATTTAAGTTTTATTCTAAGCCCAGTAATTAGAATATTTTGCTCCTAATTTTGTAGGTTGAGGAGAGTCGAGCCTCCGCCTGCTACACAATATATTTCAGATATTTCAGCATTTGCATTCGCCAGTTTCCAGGTGGAGACCATGTACTGTGTATTTCATCGCTTTTTATAATTTATCATATCTGAGGTCTATATGTGATTAAATTGAAGGACCGAGATGGATGAGTGATCCCGTCTTGGTCAATATGTTAGATGTCAGTTATGACATAGATGAGTGGGCGTTGCCCAGCCTAGGTCTAGCGTACAGATGAGTGGGCGATGCCCAGCCTGGATTTTTGTGGGAGGGGACTCCCAGAGTGTGCACATGAGTACCGGTTTACCGTTAGTCCCATAATCAAACCAGTTTATTCATATATATGTTGATTTCTTTATTTGTTATTAGTTGTGCTGAGTATTCAGTGTCGGTCCCGGCGGAGCACCGTTGATTTCTTTGTGCTCACGCCTCCCCACTACCCTATTTTTCAGGTGATGGAGTCCCGCGTGGAGCGTGAGCAGATATGTGGTGGTCATCAGCCAGTGTATTTTGAGAGATCATGTCATGTAGTTATTTGAACATGATTGAACTATCTTTTGTCATTGCATTTTATTTATGATTGTGTGTGCTTTCCGAACTATCCTTGCTTCCGCATTTCAGAACTATGTTTCAGAATTTCAGAACAGTATGTCAGTATTTCAGTATTTCAGACTAGTATTTCAGATGTCAGATTATGTCAGATTTTCAGAATATGCATGTTTTATTCAATATTATTCATGGCCTTAATTCTAGAATGGATATTACTTGGTTGCTTGCATGTTAGATTAAAGAGATGAAGATAAAGAGTTAAATTCAGTAACATCCCACGTTTTAAAAGTTAAAGTATTTTCGAAAAATTAATATGATTTTCGGAAATTAAATCACCGCTTTCCATTTATAGCGCAAAAAATTTACTCTGGATTTAGTAAGTGTAGGCGGTGTGTTACATTATATATATCTAATGATTTAATAAAAAAAATTTCACATTATCAATGCAAAACTCTTTGTTATAGATCTTAACATGCAATCATTTTTTTTTAGATGACATAATCAATTAGGAAAAAAAATAGAGATTTGGTCCTAAAAATACCACTAGTTTGATATTTGGTTTTTTAATTATTGATTTATTTATAAGATAGTCCATTATTTAACAAAAATTTACAGATTTAGTCCTGTGGCAAGTAGGTGACCCGCTATTTTCTGTCACAACAACTAAATTTCTGGTTTTCTCACAGATAAAGAATCAATTGTAAAAATAAATAATTATAGTACTAATGTGAAAATGTGAAACTTAAAGAACTAAAAATCTCTATAAGACAAAGAAGTTGGAAACTTAAGGTCAAGGGTAAGCTCAAGCATTTTATATAGAAATGCTTCACAGGTATTCTATCGGTGATTGTAAATCTCAGGAAAAGAGGATTAGATATTGATCCCATATGCAGACTCTATGGTGAGTATAAAGAGACCATTTATCATGTTCTACTTAGTCGTTCCAAAGTACAACAAGTTTGGAAGTTGTCACCTTTAAAATGGAATGGAATCTCAATTAAAAATACAATAGTCGGTGGTGGCAAGTGTTCTCAACCAAGAAAACAGAAACCTCTGATGGTAGAATACAACTTTCAACCTATATACTTTGGTGGTTATGGAGATCGAGAAACCTGTGGATATTCAATCAAGAGCTTATGCTAGATAGAGTCATTGCCATTAGAGCTCTCCTAAAGGCAAGAATTCTGTAATGTGGTTTAATCCCTTTGGTTTTGTTTTAGTTGTGTTTGTTACAACTTGTGTTTAGTTGAGTTAGTTGATGTGTTTGTTGTTGTGTCTTTCCATTTCTTTTCCTGTTAGTTTAGCAGTTTGTTCTTTTGGGCTGTTAGTTCATGTTAGTTTGGTGGTTTAAGAGCTACTTGATTTAGCACAGTTAACAAGAGTTGCTCTCAGTTTCATCTTGGTGGTCTCGGGTTGCCCCGTTTGTAAAACATTTGTACTCTTTTGTTTGTATTATGAGCAATCTATCAAAAAAAAAAAAAAAAA